AATAGATCATGTGGGGGCAGGCCCACTTTGGCTCCCAGCAGACTTTAGGGATGCCTGCTAGGCCCAAAATAGATTGCAGGGGGGGGGGGGCATTTTGGCTCTTAGCAGGCTTTAGGGAGGCCTGCTAGACCCAAAATAGATCATGTGGGGGCAGGCCCACTTTGGCTCCCAGCAAGCTTCAGGGAGCCTACTAAGCCCCAAATAGAGCATGGAGGGGCTAACAAGCCTCCCTGCAGCCCCCTGGGAGCAAAAGTGTGTGGGGGTTTCAAAAGAGAAAGAAAGGAAGAAATCTTTGGGGATCCCCAACTGCATGGAGCAGAGGTCTGCAAACTTAGCAACTTTAAGACTTGTGGACTTCAGCTCCCAGAATTCAGCTCTGTTGGCTGGAGAATTCTGGGAGTTGAAGTCCACAAGTCTTTTTATATTTAATAAAAGTTTTTATTTTTAAGCAAACATAAAACAAACAAACACACACACAGAGTATAAAAACCCTCCTCCAATTACTTACAGTGTGTCGATTAGTTACAAAACTTTTGTGCTTCCTCACAATAGTCTTCACTTGCAGTTTACATAAAGTCTCATATCATCAATTTAATATATATGTATACAATTATTATGATTATTAAGCATTCATTTGACTATAGCTATTATTACATCTTTTTTATGTAAAGTATTCTAAATTTAAAATAAATTTATATTATGGCATTTCGTTACATCATCCTGAAATCATCCAATCTTTGGATTGGATTATAAAGATTACATTTTTATATTCTATTCTATATAGAATTGTTTATCTTTTATAACAAAGCTTTTAAGCATCCTCTCCATAGTCCACACTTACAATTTGTGTAAAATTTCATATTATCAATCTAGTGTATCCATATGCATTATTATCTATTAATCATTTATTTGACAATAACTATTATTACTTTATTTTATACAGAATATTCTAAATTTAACTAAGTTTAACTTAATTTTTATTATAACATTTCATTTCATCATCCTGTGTCCTTCCAGTAGTAGTGCAATCCTATATCTCTTGCCATTTGTAGTATATTTGTATTCTAATTGTTTTCTTGATAAATGAAATGTTATAATAAAAGTTAAGTTAAACTTAGTGAAATTTAGAATATTATGTATAAAATAAAGTAATAATAGTTATAGTCA